GCCGGCGGCGGGGGGCGCCGGGGGCTGCGAGCGGGGCGCGGGCTCCCCGGTACCCCCGCCCCGCCAGTGCCCCCTCGCCTCGCGGCCCCCACGAGTTAAGGCTTCGAGAAAGATCAGTCTGCGCAGTCGGGGGCTTCTGTCTGCGGCTTCCGCGCCAGTAGCAGCCTGTGTCACTGGGGGCAAGGCGCTGTGGTTACTGACGTCTTTTCCACACCAGTATCCTTCCACATACCCTTCTGTTCGAAAACGTGTGCTGCCATTTTTGTTTTATTCGTGTTTTCTCTACCACGGCTTATATTTACTTGTTGCTAGTGATATTACGTGCAATATGTGATATATACCTTTTTTACTGTAGCCTTGGAGTGCTACTATTTAAGCTCATACCTAAGCAATGAAAGAAGGGAAATGCCTTTCCAGATAAGCACAGAATAAAAGAATCGTTTACACAACATCAGCATATCAGATGGCCAACTTCAATTTAGAGCACAAATTCATAAAATGCTCCTTGTAGAGTTGCCCAGGTCTGAAATTGTGCTCTTAATTCTTGCATGCCACCAGAATGATAAGTTAACAAATTTTAAATCGTTACCAAAGCATTTTCATGGTTTTTTTCACTGGATGGAACCAATGGATAGTTTTTGGAAGCCCAGGAGGTTAAATGATTTTGTGGGGCTTGGACAATTAACAGTGACTGAGTTCAGTTACCTTATCAAGTCACATGGAAGCAAACAGAAAATTTCACCAGGAAAAACAGCTGTTGTAAGCTGAAGGATGAGTTTGGAGGAGCACCATACTACACAGGAAGAGAAGAGGGGTATTATTTCTTGTGGCTCACTGATTGTTGTACCTTAATAAGCTTGTGTGGAAGCAAGTGTCGAAATTAACCAAAACAAAAGTAGCACATCTCCAAGTGGTTTTGAACAGACCAGCTTTACACAAGAAAGGGTATCAAATTTAAGGTGTGAATGTTCTGTTGTCTCCCTCACTGTCAGAAATGAAAGATGGTTTAATAAATATATCTGCTTTACACCATGCTTCCCTGCCTGCCATGTTAAAAAAAGAGAAATCTGTCAGCAAGAAAAGTGATTAATTCCTTCAGCCACCAGTTAGTCAACCGAAAATAATCTGCCAAAGCCCAATTTGTTGCCATTTCTGAAGTCACTGACAAGCAATATGAAACTTGTGATAAATAGCATAGGACTTTGTGTACCTCATAAAACTACTGTATTAATAGATAATGCATTGATGCAGTGTTTTGCCTTCAAAAACAAAAATTAGTCTCAAGGCAAGGTGTGGCCCTGCTAATGTTTGCCCTCATTTGCAAACTACCCTAACTCTCACTTTTCAGTCTCACTTTTCTTGCCTCAGGGAACCAGACATTTCTGGAAAAAAAAGTAGAAACAGCTTCTGAGCAACTGATATAAGTGAATTCCATTATCAGGTTTTTGTACCAAAAGGAGTAAGAGCTTCTGTTGCACAGAGAATTCCTATTCCAGGATGTGCCATGCAGATTTAGATATGATGATCACTGCAGTGTAAACCTGCCGTGACCAGGGTGACAAACAAACGCTGGACAAGAACGGCGAATTTGGACGTTTGGTGAGGAGCTGAATCATCAGCACACCGAGGTCTCCCATAGTTCTTGGAAAGACACTGTTCATCCCTGTCACTTGTTATGTGTGTACTAGCAATAACTTGCAAACTTGCACCAAATAAAACAAGGAACATACTTCTGAATAGGATTTTTGCAGTTAGTATTTGAAAGAAGAGAATAGTATTTCAAGTTATTCTAATTGAAATATTAATACAGGGCAGTATTCATTTTACTTTAGTCATTGGAAAGTTAGTTCTCCAAACAAAATTAGATTAGATAAATTCCTTCCATAAGATCCATAAGATCCTACAAATACCAAAAAAGATATCACGTTTTATTTAAGGAACACTTATGTCACACTTAAAAATGGCAACATTTTTCTTAATTTTCTTCTATAAAATAAAGTTCATTTTTTTTGACCAATAAGATTGAAGGATTGTATTATATGTAATGCTGCAAAGATGTATGTATAATCAAATATAAGGGCATCATAATTCAGAGCATAATTAACACTCCTAAACTGCCATTTACTGGCATCTGCTGTATTTAATTCAAGTTCTCAAGTCAGATATCTTCAAAGAAGCATCATCTCCCCCATGGCAACTGAAATTTCTGAAAATACAGAAAGCTGCAGCCCTGTGGTGCTGAGCAGCCGATGGCTCAGCCTGGATGGCTTCAGGCACCAGCACCATGGGGCTGGAGATGCTGGCAGATAACAGAATGGCAGAAAGAATGATGTTGGAAGTTACCTCTGGACTTGAGCTAATCCAACCCTGCTGCTCCCAGCAGGGTGAACTAGAACACATTGTTCAGCATGGTGTCCAGCCAAATTTCTAGGGTCTTCAAGGATGAAGACTCCACAACATCTTTAAACATCACACTGACAACGTTCACAGAGAAAAAAATAAAACAAGAAAAAAATAAAAAAGTTATATTTCCATATTTAAAAGGAATTTCCTGTATTTCAGTTTGTGAAATACACATCCTCCTGTCTTTACACAGGATGCCACTGGGAAGAGTCCAGGTCCCCATTCTTTTCTCTTCCATTAGATATTTATACTTGTGGATAAGATCTCCAGAACCTCCCTTTCCTTAGTCTGAACAGTCACAGCTGTGTCCTCCTCACCTTGAACATCAGATGCTGCTGTCCCATAACCATTTTAGCAGCCTTTGCTGCACTTGCTGCAGTAAGTCCATGTCTCTCCCTCGTACTGGGGAGCCCAGGCTTAGACCCAGAAATTCAGATGTGCTTTGCCAGTATTGTTGAGGGGAAGCATTACCTCCTGCCACATGCTGGCTGTGCTGTCTCTAATGTAGGCCATATTATGTTTATGGCAGCCTAAAATGATCCTATTTGCATTTATCATTGACATTAGAAATTGCACTGCTGCAAATGTGCAGTGCTCCAGGTAGAAGTCTGCTTGGCTGTAATGCTCCTTTGTGTTTTCACTTGTGAAGTCAATCTGGTCAATCAGAGTCCTCATGGATTCCCTGCCTCAGTTCACTTCTAATTGGTGGATTATTGAACCCAGGGGTGATGTGACTGTGCTGTGCATCTTTTTTCAAGGCATGGACAAACTTAATTCTTGCCTTAACTATAATGCTTGGCTTTGTAGCTTTGATTCTTTTTATTTTTCTTTGCTGTTTGGGTTTTTAAATTTTTTTGTATCATTCTTCTTTTTTGTAATTGTAATTTCTATCCCACTGTGTAATGATGCATTTTTAGGATTGCCATGTCATGGCATTTGTTGGAGTCTCCCATGAGAAACACATTACCTTTCCACTCCAGTGCAGAGGAGGTGCACACAGCACAGAAAGAGAACAGTCACCTAATCCATAGCACTAGTAATCAAATCGGGGTTTACACAACAGGAGGTGAGAATTAAGCTTGAAGATGGATGAAAATTTGAAAAACTGAAAAAACTCTGTATCATTCACTGTGCCTTTTTAAGAGCCTTCTAAGATCAATCTATTTATCAAAAGGTGTGATGCCAGCTGAAGAGTTAATTTAGTCTTGTACTATCTAAAAAACGTCTGAACTGAGATTAATTGTGGGATTTTGATATCTCTGCTATCTGGTTAATATTCTCTTATTGGTTCTTGTTTCAGGAAGTTGAAAACACTGTGGAAGACAAATTACTACTGACATCTTTAGACACCAAATTACATCAAATTTGGAAGAGGCTTCATTGATTTATACACACCTAACTCAATATGTCCCTTTCTGGACAATGTTAAATTCTCACAGTTAGAAGTCACTCTTAATTAAGGCTTACTTCAGGAATGTGTCTCATGCTGTTTGAAAATATATCAAAAGGGCACCAATGTTAGGTGTTTTACCTTCAGTTTTTTTCACTGAAAGTCTCCCTTTTCAAATAGTACCTGTCATTTTCTCACAGTTATACAGCCATGATCAGTCAAATCTGAGTATTTACCAGGATTTAATGTCTATATTTTCGGAAAGTTTTGCACAGTTTCAAGTCTGCCTTGAAGAAAGGTTTTTTCAATGAATTAATAAAAGCACAAGTTCTATCTTCTTTCATGGACTTCATACACCTGCAAGCAAGCTGTCCTGGAACACAAACTTTCTGAGGATAAAACAGATTTTTGTTTCTGTTGCAAGTTTTCTTGGTAAACTACTGTTTCCTGGAGGGCAGATTAGATTTACTATGTGTGCTCTAACAGTATGACTGTATCACAGTACTTCTGTGTACAGAAGTACAATTTTGTGAAGTTCTCATTGTAAATTAGCATGGAGAGTCACAGGGATGTTACAAAAGTTGTAACAGCAGTGACAGATAAATAGGATTCTAGGTTTTCATTTTCATTGGAAGATAGAGGCAGTCAGACTTCCTATGGAAACATCTTCCAGCTGGATTTGCTTTCTTACCCAGCATTCTTATTTTTAGTAGAAAGATGGGTGTAATGCTTTTTTGTACTGATCGAGTATTAATACCTCTTTCTTAGCAAGGAAGCAGTGATATTTGGCCAGATGATAAAATTATTTCATTTATGAAGTCATATTTAGGAAACTAGCAATTTTAAATACAAGTTCCACCTTGGGTAATTGAAAAAATCTTTGCATCCTCCTCTAACTTAAATTGTTATGGCATCCTTCCTGTGCTCAGTGAGTTGTTATGAAATCTTTGTCCTGTGTTGTACTAAACATTGGCTAT